CCTCACACCTGCCCCCTTCTCATAGAATCATAGGATCGTAGGACTGGAAGGGACCTCGAGAGGTCATTGAGTCCAGCCCCCCGCCAGCAAGGCAGGCCCCTCTTCACTTCACCACAGTTACAGGAGTGTCATCCACCCATGGTCCCCTCCTGCCTTTTTCCGTGGAGGTTGGGATGGATCACGTGGGGCTAGCGCACCAGCCTGCTGCTGGAACATGGTGCCTTCCCCAGTGCTCTGGCCATTCTGAAGCAAGGAGGTGGGAAAGTCAGGGCCTCGGCCAGCTGGGGAGGGACCAGGGGCTAGCATTTCCCATTGAGCAGCTCACACAGACCCCCTCCCCCTCCCTTTCCCAATCACCCCCTTGCTCCCAGGCTGCCTGAGGAATTCAGACCCCTGGCGTGCATGCTACAGACCACTGGGACTGACCTGGGGCTCCACAAGCCACTTGTACGTCCGGCGGGCTTCCTCGGAGCATTCAGATTTATCCAGGGTGTACGCCGACCAGCGCGGGATCCGGCTGATCCTGTCATAGAGGGTGGCATAGTGGAATTCCTCACTGTACCTCTGGCAGATGGACTTCGTGTCAGACGTCTCAAAGCCACTCGGTGGAACATCTCTGTAGAAAAAGCCTGGACACGCATCGAATGGTGCCACTTTGGCCAGCGCCGGCCCTGCCCACAGCGAGACGCAGCCAAGGAACACCAGCCAGGCCATGGTTCGGAGAGACCTCATCATTGCCTGCTGGGAACCTGCATGTCAGACCCCTGCTGGGTCCCCTCCTATTTATAGGGCGCTGGGAGCGGCACCTGATTCTTGTTCTTTTCAGGTTCCCTGCCAGGGGCTTTCAGATTACGCAAGTTCACCCCATCTCCAGCTGCATCACCTAACCTTTGATCGATATCAAATCTGGATTGTGCCAATTTTTGGAGCCAATATCAATAGCACTCAGGGCACGCTAGGCTCTGCCCAGGTGCAGAATCCATTTTGTAAAGTAGCTGCCATTTCATGTAGGCGTGAAGGTCACGTGGTTGAAAGAGTGAGGAAGTGATACATGTTACCATGAAGGAAAAGTGACTATGCTGAAAGTTGGCCCAGCAACAAGCCTGCACTGTAAGATAGATCGTTAGGCAGCTTGCTGCCATAAAAGACGTTGCAATTGTATTCTAAGGCAGAACACACTTTGCTAATAAACTAGTCTCTGTACCTTTTGCTGAGTGTGAAACTCATTTCCACAATTTGGAGGTTCCACCGAGATCCTAAGCGACGGCTTCCTGCCCCAGTGATGCCACCCTGCACCCCCTCAGCTCGCACGAACAGGTGAGAGGACACCAGCTTTGCAAATTTCCTCATTTGTAGGGGCTTGAGGGTCGGTCTCCACCACTTGGTCAGTGAGTTCTGACTACGGGATTTCTCTTAAATGGATTATCTTACGGGGTGTCGTTTATTGTTGTGTGTTATGTGTGTCTGTGCTGTATGTTCTGAAAGCCAAGTAGCCACCCCAGCCCACCTGCGAGGAGCAATCTCGTGACTGGGTAGTGTCTAAATGCAAGGGCTTGGCAGACAGAGAGTTGTCTGAATTTGTCTGTTAAACTGTCTCTGAAGAAGGAAGCCGGGCTGACTTTATGGCTGGCGCCTTCCCTGGTATAGGATCCCAATGAAGTAAGGATCAGTTTCAACTGATGTCTGAACTGAAGTCTGATCTGAAGTGCTGAGTAGTTTAAACTAGTGCCACTTCAAGAAAATTAAGTAGCGGGTGTCTTAAGACAGCGCCACTTAAGGAAAAAAATAACAAATTAAAATCCATGGGAACTGGGCATTGTAAAGCCATTCCTGTCCCAGAAAAGAGTATTCCTGCTTATTTTATGTACACACGTTATGGGCCATCATTCTTGTCGCTCTTCTCTGTACCCTTTCTCTGTACGTTATGGGCTTGAAACTTGTACATTTTTAGAAAAATGGAACAGGTATACCCGAAATGACCCGTCAAAACAATTTCCCCTGATGGGCACTTTTAATCTGCCCTTGAAAGTCGTGGCCCTAAAACACCAGACACCCAGTACTCAGCCTATTTTTCATGGTATGAAGAAACCTCTAAGCGCTTAGCCGAGTCCAAACTCTCTAGTTTGAAAGACTCAAATAATAAATTAAAAGGCCAGTTACAAATGGCCGTTCAATCTACTAAACTTTGCCCTCAAATTTCCCAAATCGAAAAAGAAAAACTACCAGTGAAAACAGAGCAGCCAGATAGTGATCTTCTTGATTGGCTACCACCTTCTCGCATATCTAAAAACCCAAATTTATACCCAACAGCACCTCCGCGAGGATAAACGTTCTGATCTAGGTGCCTGGCAAAGGGGTGAATTAATGGCAATAGTGAAAGGGTTCCCACCAACTGAAGAAGACCCTTTAAAATTCCAAGAGGAATTGAAATTAATATTTCAAGCATATGCACCAACCTGGCCAGATGTTCAGCAACTGCTGAGAGTCCTTTAGCCGGAAGATAAACGTAGGAAATGAATTGCAGCATCTAAATGGCCTACAGAACCCACAGACTTTAACCCAAATGATGAGCAAGTCTTAGAAAAATATAAAGAAGAACGAGAACGCCTAGTCTGTGCCATCCCTGTAGCCTTTAACCCACAGACTTTAACCCAAATGATGAGCAAGTCTTAGAAAAATATGAAGAAGAACAAGAACGCCTAGTCTGTGTCATCCCTGTAGCCTTCCCTAAGAAGCCAGACTGGACAAAAATAAATAGCTGCAAACAAAAGGAAGGAGAAAACCCAAGCGCCTATCTCGAATGTTTAACTAGAATTTTTTCTCAGCACTCCGGCATAAAAGATCCTCTTGAAAATGCAACTGAAGCGCGTGGTGCGGCATTTACACAAGGCCTTTTACCAACAGTGAAGTCTCAACTTAAAATGCAACTGAAGCGCGTGGTGCGGCATTTGTACAAGGCCTTTACAGTGGGCTGGGAGACTGAAAAATTAGATAGACTGCTTTCGGTTGCTACTCACGGTGTGAATTTGCAGAAAAAGCAAAAGGAAGAAAAATGATTAACGGTACAACTCCAGCATTAGTCCGCACCTATGCAGGGCAGAAGTAAGGGGTGAGGCAGAGGGCGCGGTAGCTTCCAGCTAAAACAATGAAACTTTATTGCTCCACTTATGGGACAAGGATTTTCTAAACCATATATTGGTGCTGGACCTGCTAAGGGTACTAAGAGAGAAGCGTGCCATTATTGTCACCAGATGGGTGACTGGAAGTCCACATGTCCCAATCGCCCTCGCACTTTTAATCTTTCCCCTCCATCTCCTGTCCAGACAATGAATTTGGTTGACTTTACTAACATGTGGCTGTGTCTACACTGGCCACTTATTCTGGAAAATCAGCCGCTTTTCCGGAATAACTTGCCAGCTGTCTACACTGGCCCCTTGAATTTCCGGAAAAGTACTGACGATCTAATGTAAAATTGTCAGTGTTTTTCCGGAAAAACTATGCTGCTGCCGTTCGGGCAAAAGTCCTTTTCCGGAAAACTGTTCCGGAAAAGGACCAGTGTAGACAGCACAGTAGTGTTTTCCGCAAAAAAGCCCCGATCGCGAAAATGACGATCGGGGCTTTTTTGCAGAAAAGCGCGTCTACATTGGCACGGACGCTTTTCCGGAAAAAGTGCTTTTCCGGAAAAGCATCCTGCCAATGTAGATGTGCTTTTTCCGGAAATATTTATAACTGAACACTGTTCTGTTTTAAGCATTTCCGGAAAAGGGTGCCAGTGTAGACGTAGCCGAGGAGAATAGCAACCTTCCCTGCTCATTTCAATGCCCGCTTATTCCTTTAGGATATGTCTACACTAGCCCCCTAATTCAAACTAGGGAGGCTAATGAAGCATACCAAAATTGTAAATCAAGCCCGGGATTTAAATATCCCACGCTTGATTTGCATGTTCCCGGCCGGTCGCCATGTTTGAAACTTACAAGTGCGAACTAACTGCCCGCCTCTACACGCGGCAGGGAAACAGGTGTTCGGAATAAAGCCTTATTCCCATTCTGCCTGTTAAGAAGCCGGGGAAGAATACATATCATTTTGTTCAAGATCTCCAAGCGGTTAACTCCGTCATCATCCCCACACATCCTATTGTGCCGAATCCCACGACTATTCTTTCTGCCACGCCACCGGCTGCCACTCACTTCGCTGTTGTGGACCTCTGTAGTACCTTTTTGCTTTCACTTACAAGGGACATCAATATTGTTGGACTGCCCTCCCTCAGGGTTACTGTGAAAACCCCTCTTATATTTCTCAGGCGCTCCCAAAGGACCTACAAAATATAAAATTCCCAGGGGATTCCATTTTTGCTGCAGTACATGGATGATCTCCCGTCTTGTTGCATACCTGTGGCCAAGCACGTACCTCTTTACAAAGACCAGGATTAACATCCAGGTCACCCAGAGGTCATACTGACAACAAATTCATTTTATCCTTCAAGTCTGAAATCGTCCTTCAATCTCCTTTGTATTTGGCTGCTCCGCCTGCTGTTTCTGCCCTTCTCCTCTTCAAAAACGCGACATCTTTCGGCTGCCTGACACTCCAGCTATGAGCTCCAACTTTTGGGTGCACCCCCATAACTATGCCCCACTGCCCCACCTTGAATCTTGCTACTTTATTGCCTATGCCCAGTGAAGAAAAACCCCATAACTGTGTGCACTTAGTAGAAGCATTTTCTAAACTTCGCCTGGATTTACAGGACACCCCCTTGCACAACCCCGACTTTAAATTTTTCATAGATGGCTCTTGTGATCGAACTGAACCTTGTTGCTGGTTATGCTGTTTGTACGGTAGACAGTGTTGTAGAATCTGCCCCGTTACCTGGTGTTGCCTCAGCTCAAGTTGCTGAACTTATTGCTTTTACTCGCGCCTGTCACCTTGCAGTAAGTGCCACTGTTAATGTGGACACTGATTCCCAGTATGCTTTTGGGGCGGTCCATGACTTTCGCGCCTGTCACCTTGCAGTAAGTGCCACTGTTAATGTGGACATTGATTCCCGGTATGCTTTTGGGGTGGTCCATGACTGTGGTCAGTTATGGAAAATGAGAGGGTTTATGACTTCTGCGAGGAAACCCATTAGAAATGGTCCTTATGTAGCTGCCCTAATTGATACTGTTTTACTTCCTTCTCAACTTGCTGTAATTAAATGTGATGCTCACGTCCTTTAATTTCTGAGGTTGCTATTGGAAATGACTTGGCTGACCGCGCAGCCAAGGAAGTGGCCCTTACTCCTCCATGGGCTAAATCGTTGTACTTTACTTCTCAAATGCTGTCCCCATTGCCACCTTTCTGAGGTTGCTATTGGAAATGACTTGGCTGACAGCCAAGGAAGCGGCCCTTACTCCTCCACGGGCTAAATCGTTGTACTTTACTTCTCAAATGCCGTTCCCATTGCCACCTCTTTCCGAGTTGGCTCAAATGCAAGATGATGCTCCTGAACTGGAAAAAGACTCTTGGGGACAAGCAGGATGCCTATTGCATCCTGATGGCCACATGGTGGCACCACAACTTCTTCTTCCACATCTTGCTTCCTTACTGCATGGCCAGTCGCATGTAAGCAAAGGGGGGTTGCTTCACAACTTTAAGTTGTATTAGTTTGCTACAAATATTCCCCAGATAGCCCAAACATACTGCGCAGCCTGCCCTATCTGTCAAACGTACAATGTGGGCAAAAGTAAAAGACAGCGCAGGCATGCAAGCCAGCTCCGTTGAGTCTGTTTTTAAACCTACAAATGGATTTTATCCAACTGCCTAAATGTTCTGGATAGGAATATGTGCTTGTGATTATATGCCTCTCTTCAGGATGGATTGAGGCGTATCCATGCAGGAAAGCAGACGCAGTTACGGTAGCAAAGAAATTGCTTAACCACTTTATTCCCACTTGGGGAATTCCCTTAGGCTCTGTGTCTAGACGGGCAAGTTTTTCCGCAAAAGCAATTGCTTTTGCAGAAAAATTTGCCAGCTGTCTACACTGGCTGCTTGAATTTCCGCAAGGACACTGACGATCTCATGTAAGATCGTCAGTGTTCTTGCGGAAATACTATGCTGCTCCTGTTTGGGCAAAAGCCCTCTTACGCAAATCATTTGTGCAAGAGGGCCAGTGTAAACAGCACAGTACTGTTTTCCGCAAAAAAGCCCCGATCGCGAAAATAGCGATGAGGGCTTTTTTGCGGAAAACCGCATCTAGATTGGCCATGGACGCCGCGGAAAAGCATCCTGCCAATCTAGACGTGCTTTTCCGAAAATGCTTTTAACGGAAAACTTTTCCGTTAAAAGCATTTTCAGAAAATCATTCCAGTGTAGACGTAGCCTTAGTGTATTTCTACACTAGCCCCCTAGTTCGATCGAAATTGCTAATGAAGCGTGGGATTTAAATATCCTATGCTTCATTAGCATATTCCAGGGTGGGCACCGTTTTAGAAATTGACTAGCCCGAAGTAACTGCCCGCATCTACATGTGGCAGTTAAATGGGATTCCGAATTAAAGCCCTAAATCAAATGAGCTGTTATTCCTCCTGCAATGAGGTTTGCCAGCTAATTCAATTTAAGGGCTTTAATTCAGAATCCCATTTCACTGCCGCGTGTAGACGTGGGCAGTTACTTCGGGCTAGTCAATTTCTAAACGGGAAATTCAAATCCCGGGCTTCATTTGCAACTCCGGTTGCCTACATTAACCACCCTAGTTCGAACTAGGGGGCTAGTGTAGACATACCTTTAGTCTTGTCAAGCGATAGAGGAACTCATTTTACTGGGAAAGAAGTTGAAAAATTCTTTAATATACAACAGCAGCTCCATACAC